CTCTGCAAATTTTATTTTTTTTTTAATTTAAAGAAATTATTAGATAATACACCGTAAGTTGTAGGTATGCCAATATTTTGATGTAGTTATACTTACGTATATTAGGATATTGTTAGGAGTTTGCAAAGATTTGATACCTATGTTGCGTAGGATTTCTATGGTCTTGGTCTCTTTTTTTTCAATCATCGATATGAATATGAAGTACTTGTAAAATAAAATTATGGATTTGAGAAATAAATAATTTTTTTTTTACTTCCTTTAGTTTTTAGTGAAAAAAATGTCTTCATGATCCATCAACTGGTAATAAATTGACAACAATCCACAACTAAGTATATGATTAGATTTAATTTTTATATTTTTTAACTTTACCTTAAATATTAAGATACTATTGTAAGATACGTCGATAATTCAATAAATTTACAAAACTTAATATAAAAATAGAGCGCCCAGTTATTTATCATCTTTTCCAGTCCTAAATATATAACATTTTTCATACTTCCAAACTTCCCTACCTTACTCAATATTACCTACAGTATACAGGGTTCAAAAGCATTGTATGATCGACTTGAGCAGAAAACTTTTTTTTACTTACAAAAGATTTTGCTTTTTTTTTACAAAAGAAACCTTGTAGCTGTTTAAAATAAAGTTTTGTTTAATTATATTTGTTGTATTACAAGCAATCAATTTAGGTAATTTAGAAAATGTCTAAGTATGTGATAATGATACCTCAGAAGCTGCTAGACCAATTTTAATTAACCAAGGATTAAGATTTTTTTATTTATCCTTAAATTAGTTCAATGTAAATGTAGAGCTGTGTTTTATAAAGATCCTTATAACGATACCTCGACTTATAAAAAACGGTTTTTTGCGATTTTTTTTAATTTAACATTTTTATTCGATTTCAAAAATAATGGCAGCTATCATTATAAAGCATGATGATAACTTTTCCATTTTAAAATGACACTTACTAAACTTTTTTGCATTTGACGATTATCATCGGTATCACTTATGAGAAATTTTTGAATCTTGGATGTCCAAAATTGAGTAAAATATCAGAATATATTTTGTTCAGCATCTAATAATGATTTACTTTAAGTAAATATTTTTCATAATTTTATTAGTAAATTAAAAAAGAAATTGTTGCATAAAAGTTCATTTCGCAAAAATGAAAAAATTATTTCTCATAACATTTAATAACAATATGTTATGGTCATACAATTTATTGGTTTTATTAGTTAATAGTTGAGAAAAAAATTTCTCGATTTCAATAAAGATAAAAGTAAAATCTAAGAGGAGGTATGCGATGACAAAATTAATTTAACCATAAAGACGAAATTGTGAACAAAATGAAACATCAAAAGATAGGCCTCTCCTTTTAATTATGCCATTGCGGTTATTACGTTGCAACTATATATTTTAATTATCTTTGATGATGACAGAGACGGCAACAATTATGATAAAGACGAAATAAAGTATTATTTAAGAAAATAATTGAGTGAGTACAAAGCTTTGTGTATCAAACAATCTAATCAACATTTTTTCCTCTTACTTAAGTTACATGCAATTGATCATGAAGGTAAATTAAGTTTTGTTTTAAAACTGTCATTTTTTTTTTTTTTTTTCAAATT